TGGCAGAACACCAATCCTGGACCAAACCTATCCCAACACCCACTGTGGCTGGATCTGTTAGTCAGCTAGCTGCAAGCCTGCAATAGATGTAGACAACTCCCTTCCTAGATCTTTGTTTGCCACACCAAGACAAGACAGAAAATACAAGCAAAAAACTTTTCTAAAATATCTAACTATGTTCATTCAAGTAAACATAAGTTTTTGAGAGTGAGATTTTCAACCTGGGGGAAATTTTTCTCCCCTTTATGCTTGCATATGCATGCATAGCGTGTGATACATGCTCGGAAATAGCAAAGATCTGTACTGAATTTAATGCCAGTAAGTGAACCTTGATTCTATGAGAAGTTGATCTATGGTGACCCCAGTTTATATTGGATTCACTCTAAGAATCCAGAAGTCCCCAACCACTGGGCCACCAGCCAGTATCAGTCCATGGATCATTTGCTACTGGAGCACAAAGAAATAAATAACTTGTTGAAAATTATATAATAGACAAATTGAATAGTGGATTTAATTTAAAAAGATTTGTTTAAATATTCAATATTTATCTATTCAGTACTATCTATCATAACTGCAAGTATATTTTACAATTAATGAATATCTCTATTCATTTAATAAATGCACAATAGGGATTGATTCAGGGAAACTATGCCCAAAATGGTGTGGTCAGGCTGGACCCCAGACATGAGAGTCAAAAGATTATACATTTTTTCTTCCTTTTAATAAATTACTCTCTTTATTGAAATGCACTTAAATTACACATGTCCACCTGTCCATGGAAAGGTTGTAAATGTAAAAAATTGTTGGTGACCACTACTCTAAGAGATACCAAAGTAAGATGTACAGAGAGAGAGAGAGAGAGAGAGAGGGAGAGAGAGAGAGAGAGAGAGAACTCAAAATATGTCTGTAAATGAATTTGAACAAAAGTCATATTGTCTGGTTCAGTGTTATAGACAAACAACATCATAAGGAGAAATTAATTAGAAAGAATTAATTGATATGAATTATTCTCTTGAAATTAGTATTATTGAGATTAGCCATGTCCATATAAGAAATGGTCAGCATTCATTGAACGAACAGCATTTAGTGTTACAGTCAGTTGAAATTTATAACATCTTCCTTTTAAAACAGTTTTTTAGAAAAATAGGCTTCTTGAGTCCCATTATTATCCTTCTTTCTAGCACTGATGAGAGTTTCCTTCCTAACCTTTTGTTTAATGTAGAGTGGAAAGTCAACATATTATATTGATCTGAAGTGAAAGTGACACATGGCACAGTGGATAAAAGCATTGGTTATACCCAGTGACAGGACCCAAAGAGTGTGAGTTCAATACCCGGTTAAGGCAGTGGAGAACTTTCAGAGGGAAATTAACGGGAGATAACTGACATCCATTAAACATGGCACGTGTAACTAGAAGAGTCTACCCCAGTGAGCGAAATAAAGGGTTCAGTTTAACATTCCAACCACCTGAAGAAGGCCGGAGTGTACAACGGCCAAAATGTTGAGATAAATATGGCGATAAAGATGAATAATGTAAATAGTGTACATAATACATTATGAAATGGACAAAGTCCAACAATTATTTTAAGACATTTTTATGTTTATATATCTATCTATAAAAAAGAATGTATAAACATAAAAATGTCTTAAAATAATACCTCATCTCAGAAATATGGACAGGTTTTAGTTATTTGATAAAATTCTGTGATTGTGCAGTGCCAGATCTGATGATGGATAGTCTACTTTGAGAACTAGTGGAATTGTTAGTTCAAAGCATTTTTAATCATTGATCTGGGAAAATATATATATATATATATATATATATATATATTTAAGTTATGAAGAACTTGGTAAACCGAATTGGTAAATCAAGCCAAATCCTTTAAAAGGAAAATCCTTTAAAAATGGTTTTGGTGAAATAAATATATATATATATATGGTACCTTAAATATATATATCTATTTTATATATTAAATATATATATATATATATATATATATATATATATATATATATAGCTGATCAGTTAGACATTTCTGAATGAGTTGGATACCATAAGGTCATTAGGTTCTTAGATTAATAATTTGGTTTTGTAATTACTTGTAGCATTGAAAAAAACTACCACTTAGCACAGCCTACCCTATTCAAGAACATATCTCAAGTTCTTAGGTACATAAAAGGGAAATGAAAATGGTTCACTGGAATAGATTGAATGGGGGACTTGGCTCAAACTTCACAGTTTATCAACTACAATAAATACAATTGCTGAAACATTATGACAATAACAATTAAGATGAAGATGCTAGTTTGAGTAAATCAATGAATAATAATAATAATAATTTGTCATCTCAGAAATTCAGACAAAACTTTATAGAAGATGTTAACTTACAGCTGGGAGAGCAAAGAAGGAAATTGCAAAGACTGAGAAGCAAGAAGCAACAATTCTCCCCATCCAGGTCTGTGGAACTGTGTCTCCATACCCAATGGTTGTCACTGTTATCTGAAAGAGACAAGAAAATCATTCAAATCTGTTTCTGGCTGATACCAGCAAGAAATGGAGACAAAAAGACATTGGAGTTCTTAATTAGACTAAATTGAAATGGATTTGATGTTCAGATTTAACATAAACAATTAAGTGAAGGAAATAAAAAAAGGAGATGAATAAAATAAAAACAAAGATTTCAATAAAAGTAATGAAACAGTGTGGAGTGAGTAGCCATAGGGGAAAGGTATGGAGCCTCTTGGGAAAGGTATGGAGCCTCTTCTCCCCTCAGCTATGGGTAAATAGCAGGACACACTGGGTTCTATAGCCTTGGATGGCAACTAGTCTACCACAGAAAGAAATGGCAACCTACTGCAGGAAAAAATCTGCCTGGTCAGTCATGTATCGAAAGATACATGATCGTCTAATTTTGTTTATTTTGCTTTGCCATTTATAACCTGAACTTGACTACTGCTTTGTGTTCAATATAAAAAAATATTACAGTCTAAATGTATTGTAAAATATTCATGTGTGGTTTGATCTTATAATGTAGATGTTGATATGGCGAATCTATGTTGGAAGATGGTCAAATGAAAATGAGGCATGATCATGTCATGCGAATTTAAGTATGGCAGTAATGAAGTGATTTTGATAATAAGTACCTGCAAAAGAGGATATTTAATGAGTTGGTCAGGCAGGTATGGAAATGTCTCATGGGTTGCGATTTGATAGTTTGAACATTCAACAATCAGCAAGGGTGGTAAGAGCAAAGGCTAATGCAAACCTGACACAGGTTGTCATTATCATTTGCAGAATTGTGGGAGTTTGATGGCGCTTGGGTCCTTATGGCTCTATGGTAAGGGTAATAGTTGTCATTTCCTTATAAGGAAACATTCAAAATTCAATGACTGAGCAGCCAGTATTAATTTTTGTTGAAATGTATAAAATCTTTCTCTTAAAACAATTTTTCAGGAAAATATGTTTATCAAGACCAGTAGCTGTCATTGCTTTATTGTTGATGGGGTAGGGGGGGGGTTCCTTCCTAATCTTTTATTTGAAATAGTATGGAATGCCAACGTCTTGATGATGTCATTATTTTCTCTTTGATTTACATGTGTTATCCATTTTAGTTGTTGCTGCTGTGTGGTCAAAAGAAATTAGTGACTCTGTTTTGGGACAAAACTTCAGATTGGGCGTTTCTTCCCTCTACACTGGTTTCTTCCCTGCATCCGCTTTGTTGTTCATTCATTTGTTCATTTGTTTGTCTTATGACGACTACTTGTATTGTATGATGTACCGCAACATAAGACACCTCTCATCTCCACGATGGTCTATTTATAATCATGAGTCACCAATGACTTGCACGGATGATAAACATACTAGACATACAGGCACCTCAGAATGGAGTACACCCGGATGTTGTTTCTCAATTCCATCCAACTATGCTAATATTATGTAAATTTGCTAATGACCCAATTTCTTGTGGGACAACAAAGAAGGGTCTCCTTTGATGGAACAACACACTCGCTTTATCTCAAATTGAAGTCCAACATCCCAGACAAAGATGAACTTTTTTTCTTATGAATAAGGCAAGTCTTGGTCACCATTTCTGCCATTTGATTCTTGTTCTGGTTCACTGTGTCTGCTGCATGATGTCATTTCTGTTATGTGATCCAGTTCCTTTTTGTAAAACTGTAGTATCAATTCATAATGTTCAAATAAGGATGGTCTTCGTCAAGACCTTCAGGCTTTAATTGTTCAAAGCCATTTTTATCCATTGATCTTAAAAAGCATAGAGTATAGAGCTGACAGTTTAGATATTTCTGAACATATTTGACAGCATGCATGACATTCTTATGGATTTCTTGATACAATTTTTATTAAAGATTGACAAAAGTTCTTTATTGGGGATGATTTTATTAGTTTTGTTTTCTTTTTGGACATATTTTCAAAATACCAATATAATCATTTTTTGACAATGGATTATGCAAACTGAAAGTGCTCTGAATTTGGGTAATAATTATGCAATAATTGTTAAATCCTTAAAAGATAACTTTCTTTGCTATTTAACAAAATCTATCTATTTATCTATCTATCTATCTCAGTCAAGCAAAGCGGAAATGCCATAAATTTTACACATGATATATTCCATCTCACTTTGGATTCCATGTTCATAAGTTCAGTTGTGCTATACAAAGCTTGTATTGCCATTAATTCTTGCAAAAATTAATCATATAAATATAATCAGCATCTTATATTCTTTTTTAAGCATATCACCCCAAGCAAGGTGGGAGTGTCACTAGCACTCAAGGGGTTGCAGAGAGTGAGAGCAAGAATAAAGAGGAGTGTTTGAGAAAAGGATAGAGAAGGATGGGGATCAAGATCAAGGCATTGGAAGATATTGATTGACATTACATTTGAATATTTAAAGATTATAGCTATCAGGGAAGCAAGTAGGAGGAAGGAAGTTCCACTATCAGGAAGTGTGAGATAAGAAGCTGTTGGAGTAGAAGAGACAGCTATATTTAACTGTTTCAACAGTGAAAGTGTGTGACAAGATGCCAACCTAGTAGCACGTTTAAATTCATGCAGTTGGGGTACCAGTGAAAGTAGCTTGTCAGAGTAGTTGCTATGAAAATATTTGTAGAAAAGACAGTGGGAAGCCACAGCATCTCTGTGAAAAAGTGACTGTAGGCGAGGTGCCAGATCAGGGCCTATCACATGCTTGTTTCTAGTTTTCACATTTTTTTCCAAAATAAAAGGATAGCATCAGCATGAAGTATGGACCTTATTTCTTGAAACTAGTGTATAGTTACAATAAGACATACCACCAGTGTGCAAAGACAAACTGATGCTAATGCATGGAATTTTATGCAATATCAAATTCTTTAGAGCTTAATGGATGTGCAATGCTCATTTTAAAAGCTTTGACAATTGTTGCTGTTGCTTGGAGAGTATTATCTTTGATATATGATGCCTATTGAACAAAAAAACTTGCTCACTGCAAAATATTGGTTTTAAATATCTCATTAAACAGCAAGGAATGGCTTGTAAATTTTAATGCCTCCAAAATGAAACAGCTATCTTTTTATCACCATAGAGAAACTTTTTTGCCTTTGTTATATTCCGTGCTAAGGGAATAAACCCATAATACCAGGTGGATACTAGAGGTTTATTATAAACAACAAGTACAATATGTAATACAGTACAGTTATACACACAGGTCAATCTAGTAGTGAGTGCCACTAATTGGAAAGTCGGACGTGCTTGTGTCATCTCACTCTCACCTCCTCTCCAAGTCTCTCGTAGACAGTAGACTTTATAGATACTTACTACCTATAATGTAATCGTTCATTGGGGTGACTGGTTATTCCATTACATCAGACTTCCATCGACATGGCTGATTATAATCTCCAGGAAAGTAAGTAATTTTGCCTCCTTCGTCTCATGTTTTTTACTTATGTGAAAGGGAATGATTATTATGAACCAATTGCTAAGTCTGATGCTTGAGAAGTTGATTCACTGTGTCATACTAAATGATTTTTCTCATCAGAATCCATCTATTACATTGAAATATATAACATTTATGAATGTACAGTATATTACTGCCATATATAATCTGGTGCTCCTGCTATATATCTCGAGATTCTTGATAAAATCCAAAAGGTGTCTGCAATGTTATCAATCTTGACCTGGCATCACGACTTTTGTCACATTCCAACTGTTATAATATGGCTTCTCTCTACAAGTATTTTCATGGTAATTGTTCTAATGAGCTTGGTACCTTGACCACATGAATTTAAGTGCGCTACTAAATTGGCTACTAATTCTCATTGATTTATTGTTGAATTAGCTAGATGTAACTAACAGTTTCTTTTATTGCACTCCTTGCTTGTGATACTCTCATTCCACAATTGAAATGCTAAGATGCAACTGTAAATTCTATTCTAACAGAGTTTCTTCTCTTGCAATTCTTGCTTGTGGAACTCATCCAGTTTCTTGCTTCTTTGTCACCTTCAATTGTCTGTCTTTCTAAATATTGTTCCTTAATTATTCTTTCCCCTCACTAGTTTCACACACAGTAGCCTTTTGCATCCTAGTGGCATTATTGCCTTGCTTGGGGTGAAATGATAACACAAAAATCAAGTGTGTCTTACCTCTATGCATACCAAATGAAGTAAAGATGAAAATACTTCTTGTCACATAGTTAAATATCTAATAAAAGGGGGTGTCAGATTCTTTTGACTAGAGACCCCATTTTGTTTCTCCTCCTTCCCCAGTGCCCCCCATTTAAAATATACTTCAGTCCTTAAAACTTGAACTGATGTTGGCAATTAAAATGTTAACTAAAATATATGGAAAGTTGAGAAATTTGGCTCAGGTTCAAAATCCACCCCCTCCACTACTAGTATCATCAGAATCAGAAATTTCCCCACAATATATTTAAGAAAATATATTAAATAACCCCAATGAATCCAGAAAATAATATCTTAAGTACACCAAGTCTAAATACTGATAATGCTATTGAACTGAAATGCATAACAGATACTAATATCCAACTGTACTAATTAAATAAATAAATATCTCACCATACCGATCAGGCCAAATGACCTTCATAATTATAAACTCTGTTTTACAGTTAGGCGCTGAACAAAGGGGATTGTTATCTGAAAATGAACTTGGAATAATTAAAGAAGAGCAAGCAATGCTCAATGTAGTATTAGATAAGTCTCATCAAAATAAGTGAAAAGCTACTTGGATAGACGTTACTAATGCTTTTGATTCTATTGATCATCGAGCTTTCTTTCATCTGCACCAAAGAATGCAACATACATGTAGACTAACTAAAATTTAGCTCAGTATCAATCACACATCAACTCCTATTCAACCACTTCACTATCATTCACCCCTGGAACTCCTCATTCACCCCCAGGGGGTCACTTGGACTCCATCTGTTGAACTATGATCTAATATGTGGATGGATTTGTAATGGATTTTTTTCTCATTTATCTTCAAAT